CCCCCCCCCCCCCAGCTTTAATTTGGAGTCAATTTTGTTGCCTCAAAGTGAACTAAACTTTAGAAGTTCAATGGACGATGATGGAGATAGGTTCGGTAGAGGATAGAAACATCAATTTTACGAATGAATCATTGAAAACCTAGGGTACCAGAGTCACACAATTACCCAGTGACAATGGAACCCATCTGAAACATAAGTCCCATTTTACATCTTTTGAAATACACATAAAAATTATATCGCCCTTTGCACGTGGCCATAAATATTATATCGCCCTAAAAAGTTCCGCTCTAATTTTTTGCGCACCTTATAAAATAATTTTACTTCCATCTGAAATGTCTAAAACACATTCTATTATGTAATTTATTGCGGGTAGAAGTTGTTATGAAAGTATTTTAGACATTTTAGGTAGATTAAAAATATTTTATGGGATTCACAAAATAGGGTGGAAGTGTTTTCAAGAACGAAGAGTGTATGACAGACTTTCTCACCTTCATATAACTAGCTAATTAAATAAAGTTTTACTAACTCCTAAGATTAATATTTTGTTTATAAAAATAAAAAATATTGGGTGTTTTTTTTTTGTGTGTGGTGGGAATTCATATATATATATATATTCATGCAAATGCATGGATGGCATTGCTGGATATGCAGGATTGTTCATGGCATTGCAACCAAGACTGATAGCATGTGGGAATTCAGTAGCAGCTTTGGCCATGGCCGTGAGGTTTCTCGCTGGCCCCGCCGTCATGGCCGCCGCTTCCTTTGCCGTTGGCCTCCGCGGCGTCCTCTTCCACGTCGCCATTGTTCAGGTATAATTTGCATGGTGTAACTTTTTTAATTCGTAGACTAATTTTAAATTAAATTAAATCACCTTAACTGAATATAATTATGCCTATTACACACTCCCTATGTTCTAAAACTTTCTTTCCATGGTCAGTTTACGAGGTTTGACTGAAATCATATTTAGTTTAATTTTTTTGATTATAGATGTAAACTAAAAATTATATTGTATATTTAAAAACTGCATGCATCATCAAAAGTTCTACAAAACAAAAGGTGATATGACTATATTATTTTATCAAACAACTAACAAAAACAAGAAAATGATTAAAATTTGATCATGTAAATAGTGACTGAAAAAAATATTCCAGAAGGTAGATAATACTTTGAGGAATCTACTTAAATAGCACTATAACATACTCTGTAATAGTTTTCCCTAAATAGCATCATATGTGTTTTTTCCCAATGTAGCACTTTTAGTCATTATCTATAAGTCATTATTCAAGTAAATGTTCGTCATCACTAGACATTATTCCTTCTTCTGGACATTGTTAAGTGCTATTTAGCGAATAAATTAAACTAGTTCAAGTGCTATTTAGGGAAATGACTTAACGTTTAGTGCTATTTAGTCCAAATATTTCAAATAATTTTTATCCCCACCGAAAAACACATACAGGCAGCACTACCACAAGGAATTGTCCCCTTTGTCTTCGCCAAAGAGTACAACGTACACCCTGATATTCTTAGCACTGGGTAAGTTATTAATTAATTAATTAATTAATTAATAATAATAATAATAATAATAAATGGAATAATAATATGTGAATGTTATTATCTAAACATGGCAGGGTCATATTTGGCATGTTAATTGCGCTGCCAATAACACTCGTCTACTACATTTTGTTGGGATTGTGAAGGGGAGATTTTCGCTATTATTATTGAACTCACAAGAATGACGAGAGAAAGGAAAATGCTATATGTAAAATGTCCCTTGTGCCCCTCATCAATGCATGATATGGTATATACATTATATTGCTGTATTATATTTGATCGATAGGTAGTTGTAGAGGTGGACAATTATTAATTATGTGGTTCTTATTGTTTAATTAATTTAATTGATTATTTAGGTTCTAATGGAATTAATTAGGGTTTTTTTTTTAAAAAAATTGAGAATTCATGTTATGCTCTAAAATCGTTTACATATGTTTGAGATATTAAGAAAAATAGTGTTCATGCAACACATGCGTAAAAATGATGAGAGTATTTTTAATTAGTAGGCCATATATCAAATTTTGATAAGATCAAATTTTGACTTCAAAATTAACTAAATTTTGTTGGGTGCAATACTGCAATTGGAAGGGGTGGGGGGTCGGTTTGGGTCGAGTCGGGGTGGGGGGTTTACCAGGAGTATTTGGAAGGGTACGAACCGTCAATTTTTTTAAACGGAGCAGCTTAGATGTCCCGAGTCATCCTATAACAACATCCTTCGTTGTCAAAAGCAGTGGCTCATAAATTAATTCTATTAAGAGGGCTAAACTCTTGGAATCTAATCATGACTATTGGGTTATTCAAATTCCCACTATTACTTTTGTCTATTATAGCATGCGCACAAATTTTGTATTCCCTTTAAAGGTATGATTGCAGGTCAAGAAAATTAGATGTTTTTACATTCTAACAATAATAACTACGCTTCACATTCATCTATTCAAGGTCATGTGTAAGATTTGTACTTCCTATGTCTCAAGTTGAATTACTAATAATAGGTCGGATTGAGCTTCAATTCATTCACTTTATTTTCATATTTTCATAACTTATTTGATAAAATAATAAAATATAGTCATGTCACTTTTTGTATTGAAGAGCTTTTGATATCGTTTTTTAATGTGTAGAATTTATGTTTTAATTTCGCTCCAATTCTCTAATAAATTGAATTGAAAATAACTTCAGTCAACTATCATAAACATAAACGAGTGTTTTAGATTGAGACAAATGAAGTACTACCTCCATTTCTGAGCATTTGTCCAGTTTTGACTTTTTTCGACCAACTTTTTTCAACTTTTGACCTATAATTAAAAAAAATATCTATTGTACTCGGTATATTAATTAGATAAAATAATTTTGAAAATATTTGATATAATAAATATGCTATTGTTTGAGGCTTTGAGCTTTCATCCAATTTCACATAGCCTGATCTGATTCTAAGAAAAATAAGTAATAAATAAAAAATTAGTTGAGAAGAACATGAACTATATTTGTTAAATTCAAAAGACTAAAATTTTGGGTCAAATTTTGGTATATATTTAAATAGATTATAATATAATTGTAGATCGAAATTTTCTGACAAAATAACCGAAGTAGGACGGAACAAATCAAAACTGGACTTGATATAAACCAACTTAATGAGAGGGTCGGGAACCGGTTTGAATTGAAAGATTGAATTACTTCTCTGTATAAATATTCTAATACTTCAATCGTCTTTGAAAATCTTTCTCCTTTAGTTTTACATCCGTCTCAAAAAGCTTTTTTCATTTATGTTAAAAAGTTACTTTTAATCCTACTAATTTTAACCTATTTATCACAACACATCTATTCATTATTAATTTACCTATCAAATTTTACTTTTACCTATCACACCAAAAAATATTTTAGAAAAATTAACACTAAAATACACACTTTTTAATTCCTTAAAAATCAAATCTTTCATGTTTTTGGGACGGGAGTCGTACTAATAAAATATGGATATAAAAGCTTAGAATTGGGAAAGAAATGATGATGGGATAAGAAAGAAGAAGAAAAAGAAAGGTTTGTCCCCCACTAGCCTTTGCCGGGTTGGATTTACATAAGAAAATTTTGAGAGCACTAATATCATTTAATAAATATCGGAGCATTTACATAAATCCATGCAATTCTAAGACTATTGATGTAATTTTTTTAACTGAAAAAAAGTCAAATTGGAAAACAAATTAGATTGGATCGTGGTAGTAATTGAGTAAATTCTTTTTTCATTCTATGAAGGGGCTATATGGGCCTTCGTCCACAATCAGATGATCTAGCATAAATTAATGTCATTTTGATTGGGCCTGAATTCCATAAAGCTGTGTAGCAATAAACCCAATCCCACCGAAATTAATGTCACTTGATTATGGGCCAGAAAGTTTTAGGATCCCTTTCGTGCTCTCACGACCCGCGGCCAAATTTCCAATAAATGAAAACCGACATGTGAAATATCAAAATACTCCCTAGTTGTACAAGAAAATCAAATGTGTAACTTGAGATTTTGGGAGAAGTTATATATATATATATATATATATATATATATATATATATATATATATATATATATATATATATATATATATATATATATATATATATATATATATATATATATATATATATATATATATATATATATATATATATATATATATATATATATATA